GCACCATAACTAGTGTTATTTTAACACTTTTTTAGTGGTGTTAAAATAGCACCAAAAAGTAGTGTTATTTTTTACCTAATTTTTTAACACCACTTTTTGGTGTTATTTTAACACCCTAAAATTAACAGTGCGCGATTCCAGTTCCAGATTCCCAATGATTTCAGAAAGTTCAAAAGCGCTTTCTAACGCGCCGTATTCTGCTTGCGTCTGCAATGCGGAAAGCTGTCCTGCCTTGGTCTTAACCACACTTTCGACTTCAGAAACTCCGGCTGTAGCATATGCTTTCGAAAAGCGTGGCCGATCGCTGGCTTTACCATATATCTCGAAAGAACTGTACAACCTAGTTACACCCTCTTTGAAAAAGCTGAGACTGGCAAGTAGATCCTTTCTAGACAAACCTTCGAGCTTCGTTTTAATATCATCGATCTCCCGAACAACGATTTGTCTCAATTGATCATTGTTGATATCGCCTTCGAGCAGTCGGTTCGCAGTGTAATCTCGTAGTTTAGTGCACAGTAAACCGACTGTAGAATTCAATAATCCGTTTAAAACAGCAGACATGTTAACTCTGAAACAGACCTTTGTAATCTAATAGAAAACACTAGCTGTCACTTGAATATACTTATTTGATGTCAGTAATGATATTGTTCACGTCTAGCGAACCATACCATACTTTAATTAGTCGGTGGGGCCACCTGTGGTGCCCATCGACACTCAATTTCGTACTCAACGATGGCTCTGGGTACGAGATTCACCGACACTAGGTTTGCCCTCCCGTCTTTTCGGTCTCAGGGTCTTTCTTAGAACGGCGGCGAAGGAAGGCTGCGGCTGGTCACTAGCCCGCGTGCATGCCCAAGGGAAGAATAGTGGACCTGCAAGGAAGACCGGGTAATTTGTATTTGTCGCGTTCGCACACGAACGCAGCATTCATATATATATATATATATTCATATATATATTCATATATATATATATATATTCATATATATATATATATATATATATATATATATATATATATATATATATATT